ATTCCTACTTTAATGTATTATAATCGTATCAACCAATGCAAATACATACAAAAAGGAACTAGAATCACACCCGAAACCCAAATAGCAATGGCAACGAACAGCGACGTCAACTGCGACAGCGACGCGACGACAAAACAGAGACGGCCTTTGCGACAATGACGGCGATGATAGAATACCGAGTGGAGAGCACTTTGCAAAACTCGTTTACGACTTTTACATTACCTTCTACTGTTTGTATGCGCTTGCACTGATTGAAAAGAATAATTACATTTGATTTTGTGAAGTTTGCGAGTATTTTTCGCGCACAAACACACAAAATTTCACCAGAAAATCGTTATTTTCGCGGAGGCAACGAAATGAGACGACGTCGATAGGAAAAGTTCGGCCAGAGCTGCCAACTCGTTAACAATGCTAAAAAAACACTACATCAACGAGTGGTACTCGTAACTTTTTTAGCTATCGATTTTAAATAACAATCGGTCTGATTGGCTTTTTTCACTTTTATTTAACTGTCAAAATGGCTTTGTTTCTTTTCTTTTCTAGCAGATAATTATCAGGAAGAAGAAGAATGGGAAAATTGAGGGAATTACGCTCACAGAGAGCGAAATAAAGAAAAATTCAAGGAATGAAAAACTAGCAGAAACTAGCAAGTAAACAGCTGATCGGTGTATTTGACTATTGAAAATATGTGGCGCGAGTTTTTGTTTATTCATTTTGACAGCTGCTAGTCTGCAAGTAAAAATTTTACTAGCAGAGAAATTAGCAGGGGGCCTAGAAAATAAGAGTGTAAGAACGAGAGAGAGCTGCTAGTTTCTGCTTGTTTTTGTTCTCTGGAGTTGCTCGCATGAAAATCCTGCAAAGCCTGAACGACTTCGAATTAGGAATTTTCGATATCGTATCGTTTATTCTGAATATCGATATTTCATGGCACGATAATCGATTTTCATTGGAATCACTGGAATGCACTCCTGGAAGTATAGGGTGATATAGGGTTAAACGAATGTGCCTCCAAAACCTAATGTCAAAATTTCGAGAAAAAAAATTTCATTAATTCTTAAAAATTTTCATTAGCACCCTCCAGAAAAAAAAACTACCTGCGTGAGAAGACATTAAAAAGGTAGAAGATAAT